TTTTAGTTATATTTCAAATAACTCAGAGGTGGTATTCAGCAGGTTCTGACCAGTTATGGAGAACTGGTAGTGGAAATTTTGAGTAGTTCGGAGAACCGATAAATATCACCTCTGATGGGCCTTCCCCCATCTATTCTCTGTCTCCTGAGTTCCAGCTGATCGGGAGGAAATGGGGATTTTGCAATAACCTTCCCCTGGAGTAGGAAGGGAATGGAGATTTTACAGTATCCTTCCCCTGGAGTCGAATGGGAATGGAGATTTTACAGTATCCTTCCAGTGCCATGCCCACTAAGCCAAGCCACACCACGTCCACCAAGCCATGCCCACAGAACTGGTAGTAAAAAAAAATTTGAATCCCATCACTGAAATAACTGTCCTACTTACTATATTCTTCAATTATTAAAATGATTAATTTAATTTAATTTAATTTAATTTAATTTATCATATTTCAATGCCGTCCAACTCCCAAGGGACTCTGGGAGTTATAATACAAACAATGAACATATTTTTTTAAAAAAAATATTATAAAAGCATTTTAAAAACATTAAAAACACATGCACACCATCCATGGCCTTATCTCGCAAGATTGAACAGTGAGATCAATGGCCCCAGGCCTGCTGGAAAAGCCAGGTCTTCACCGCTTTCCGGAAGGCCAATAGGGTGGGGGTAGTCCAGACCTCAGGAGGTAACTGGTTCCAGAGAGCTGGGGCAGCCACAGAGAAGGCCCTCCCCCGCGGGCCCGCCAGCCGGCATTGTTTAGCTGGACCCGGAGGAGACCAACTCTGTGGGATCTTACCGGTCGCTGAGAGCTATGCGGTAGAAGGCGGTCTTGAAGATAGCCTGGCCCTGAGCCATGTAGGGATTTAAAGGTAATAACCAACACCTTGAATTGTGCCCAGAGACCAATAGGGAGCCAGTGCAGCTCGTGGAGAATTGGTGTAATGTGGGTGCATCTAGGTGCACCCATGATAGCTTGCGCAGCTGCATTCTGGACCAACTGTAGTCTCCGAACACTCTTCAAGGGTAGCCCCATGTAGAGCGCATTGCAATAATCACCGTGAGGTGACAAGGGCATGAGTGACTGTGAGGAGAGCCTCCTGATCCAAGTAGGGTCGCAATTGGTGCACCGGGTGAACCTGTGCAAAGGTCCCCCTAGGCACAGCTGCTAGATGTTGCTGTAATCTTAGCTGTGAATCTAGGAGGACACCCAAATTGTGAACCCATTCTGAGGGGGACAATTTCTCCCCCCCCCCCAGAACCAGGGATGGACAATCGACATAGTGTTTAGGAGGCAATACCCACAGCCACTCGGTCTTGTCTTGGTTAAGTCTGAGCCTGTTGACTCCCATCCAGACCCTCACAGCCTCCAGGCACCGGCACATCACATCCACCGATTCACTGAACTGACGCGGGGTGGAGATATACAGCTGGGTATCATCAGCATATTGCTGATTAAAAATATTCAATAAAACTCCATACCACCATTATATATTTATAGTATCAGATATTACAAGCTAGATTTTATTTATATCACATTGCTCTTCATAATGTGGATGTGGATCCTTCTAGACCATTAATAAATGTATGCTTAAAGTATTTAATGTATGCTTAAAGTCTGAATGATCTCAAAAGGTAGCAACCGAGTTTAGTGGGTCCTTAGTGCTCTCGGAGCTTGCTTGTTTTCTTGCAGACATTTCATTACCCAAACTAGGTAACATCATCAGACTAGCACCAAGGACCCTTCGTGTCAACCCTGAGCTACAAATATTCTCCTTTATTATTAATACTTAGATAGGACCAGTAAATTGTACCAGGACTAAAGGCTAGACTGGGATATAAGAGCAGTATTTCAGAAGGTAATAATAGCAAATAACTCAGCCAAATAAACTGTATGGAATTTATATCAAATCACCAGGAATCAAGCTCAAAATAAGAGAGAACTTCATTAGTTTGTTTGGAAAAAAAGTAGGAAACAAATATAAAACAGTAATAATATAATGGTATGAAAATCACAGATGTAGGATTTCCATAACTATTTAGCATGCCGACTCTTGTTGTTTCTTATCAGAATTAGACATCTAAACCATACTGCTTATTAAGAATGACCATGCAACATGATTTGCAAAACCAAGGAAGAGCTATCAACCCATTTTCCTTTCTTAGGGAGGTTTCTCATAATAATTTAACTTCAAAATTGTTTTCGGGTTTTTTTTTTAAACTTGTTATACAATGTGTGGTTTCTGTTTGTCATTTCTATTTTTATTTCCACTGCTAAAATGGCAATATTTATTTTCCTAACTAGGTTCATATGCTTCTCCAATTACTAACTGATTTGAATGATTCTAGAATAGGATTAAAACTTATTTACAGTAACAATATAATCAGTTATATAGGCTGTGGAGGACAACCAAATAAACAAAGGCAGAACGTTCTGCCTACAGAATGGATATTTACTGTTGCAAAGGTGATTTTCACACATTGAAAAGAGATACGTTCTTGGTTATAACTCAATAAACCGCACAACAATGACAATAAGAATAAGGTGATGTCTATGCCTTTACTAAAAGTGCAAATATAGCAAACATTGAGGAATTATGTGAAAGGTAGAAAAAAGAGAGGAAGAAGACCACCAGCAACAAGGTAGATGGACTTATGGTGGTGCTGTGTGCACCATTTATAGACTTGAAAAGAACAAGTCAGGGCTGGATGGTCATGAAGGAAAACTTATCTAGGTGGTTCCTAGGAATGGAAAATTACTTGACGACACCTAATCAATCAATAGCAAGTTTCAAGAATTGCTAAGTGCATTACCCAGAAAAGACGTAGTATTTGGAATAGCCGCCCTGAGTCTTCGGAGAGGGGTGGCATATAAATTGAATTAATTAAAGTAAATTAAACATTAAAATTGAAGAAAGAGGAGAACCTGGAAAATTGAACTGGGCAAACACAATAATGCAGAGTTAATAAAGATATTATATTTGGAAAGGTAATTCTTTGTTCACTGTCAACATCTGCTTCAAGGCATGTAAATGCATACTATATGCCTGGAGATCACCATATGGACAACATTGGAATCAAATTGACTGTATAATGAGAAACAAAAGTGGAGCGGAAAGCCATCCAGCCAACCAAAATATTTCCAGGTGCAGCAAAACAAACCATGAATTACAAGCATCATACACAGGTATTAGATTTAAAAAGGATCATTGGTACACCAACAAAACTTTCCATGGAGGACATGCTGTCAGACTTTAAGTTTAATATAAGATACAAAATCAATACTTTTAACTCTAGCAAAAGAGAATCTGTAGGGGCAGGTGAAGAGATAAAAGATAAACGAATCAAGCAGAAAAAAATGGTAAACAAAGAGATCCAAACAGCTTGAAACCAAGAAAGGACAGTGAATGAAAGCCATAGTCAAACAGGAAATATAATAATTGAATGTAAGCTTTCCAGTAAAAAGGGACAAAGTATACCATCTTAACTGAAAATGTCAACAGACAAAAATAACATGAGAAGGAAAATCACAAAGATATTTACAGATAACATTATTCAAGAACAGTACTGGCAGAAGTCTAAAAGAAGCAATGAAGTTACAAGAACACACACAAAAAACCTATAGGAATATAGAAACTATTTATAAATGGGATTACACAATAAAAGAAATATTTGTAGAGAGAAAATATTTTCTGGACCTGACTCTATTAGAAAGTGGAGAACAAGAAGCAATAAACCAGCTGTCGAGCAAAAATGCCCCAAGCACAGATGAAATACCAGTGATAGTAGATTACATAGAAAGGGAAGGGAACGGGAAGGGAACGGGAAGGGAGGGAAATGCTAAATAAAAGTGCTGCTTGTGACTCAGTTTCTCTCGTCACTTTTTTTAAAAACTTTATCTGGTTTGAATTATGACAGAATGGTGTGTAAAATGAACCCCAGAAAGGAAACTGAAGCTAAACTTAAGTCAGATGCACTCCTATTCTGAGTGTGGTGATTATGTGCTGAAATATCACTCTGGGAACCATATTTCCAGAAAAAGAGACAAATTAGAACAGATCAGAACATGGCAATGATGACAATACAGGGATCTGAGAGCATATTCTGTAAGGACTGTCAGAAAGAAAGAAGATGTATGTATGTATATATGTATGTATGTATGTATGTATGCATGCATGTATGTAAGTATGCATGTATCTATGTATCAGTGGTGGGTTTCACTTACTTGTGCTACTGGTTCACTCGCACGCATGCCACTTCTGCGCATGTGCAGAAGCTTCTGAGCCTGCGCAGAGCATATTTGATGACATTTGGGCAGGTGGGCAGAGCCTCCCACCACCGCTGCTACCAGTTCGCCGAAACTGGGGCGAACCAGTAGCAATCCACCACTGGTATGTATGTATGTACGTACGTATGTATGTATGTATGTACTTTATAGATTAAGAAGAGACATGATATCAGCATTCAAGTACATTGCAGGGTGCCATGGAAAAGACAGAAACTATTTTCCATTGCTACAGAAACCAAAACCAGAAATAATGGATATAGGTTTCTACCTACATTTCATTTAAATATAAGGAACTACTTTCTGATAATAAGTTATATACAACAGTGGAACAGCCTATGTAGGGGCACTGTGGGTTCTCCATCGATAGAGGTTTTAAAGAAGAAAACTGGACCGTTTAGTAGACTTTTCAGTACACAAATGACTCAAGGATAATGAACAGCACGTTGAACTGGTGGTGGGAAAATGCCATTAGGATAGCTGTCAGCATAGATAAATCAGTGAAATAAAAAGGGAAACAAATGTACAATGCTTGCTGAAATGGGTAAAATTCTTCAGTACACGTGATTTTAAAAAAGGCCTTAAAAACTCCATGAAAAGAGACAAAATATCTTTACGTTCTATAACATAACATTCAGTAAAACCATTAATTTTCGTTATCCGCCAGCAGAGAAATATCATTTGAATGTGTAAGTGAAGGTGCAGTTGAATGTCTTACCTCGGAATTTTTTAGGAGGACTGTTAAGATCACCTGTTTCTGGTTGTACAACACATCGGTCATCAACAAGTCTGCAAAAAGCAAAAATGGGGAACAGAATTAAAATTAACATTACAATCTCCAAACTAATATTTTTCAGACACCAATTTAAGATCCCTTTGAAGAATGAAAGAAATACCGGTAAGTCACCAAAGATTAAGTTAGAAAAACAGCTGAACTATCTGACTTTTCCCAGACACTACATTCTATCATTCTTATTTTCATTTATGTTCCTCAAAATGCAACATTTCCACTCAGGGAACATCTGTAAGTCTAATGGTAAGTGGGTGCCTTTGAAGGCTCCTGGATTGGAGCTGAAAGGCGAAGGCGGAATGCTCTGTCCCATGTTTGGGTAGACCAGGTTGTCCTGATAAAAAACAGTCTCTCCCCTGGTATAGCCAACAAAGCTAGGAGAGTCCATGGCTTAGAGGTGAATACATCTACCTATATGTAAATAGCCCAGGTTTGAATCCCAGAAGAGTATGGCTAACTGATGAGAGCTAAATAGCTTGAAATAGATCTATACTAGTCTCCCTTTATTTCATTGTCGGTAAATATAAATTTAACATCTAATGGCAAGTGTAGTTTGTCAGAGTATGAATATTCATAGATTGGAATATAGCAACAGGTCAGCCAATGGGGATTGTTTGAATAGGCATGGTAATTCGTCAGCCAATGGGGACTGTTTAGAAACGGAAAAACATCGTATTTGTTTGTATGGGGCCATAAGAGACAGTTTGGAGTCTGGGCGTGGCTTAGACTTGCTGAACTGTATATAAGAGTTGGTTTGGCCTTTGTAATGGGTGCCTCTGTACAATATTAGCCTCTGTATCTCTCTACTTTGTGATGACTTGTTTCTATGAATATTGCTTCTGTGTTCCTGATATTGTATGCTGAATTCTGATGTATGGTATTGTATATAAAGAAATTTTCTTATGTAATTGAATCCTGCAGAAGTTCATTTACTTGTGTGCTGGTCGGAGGTGCTGCACAAACTCTGACATAGTTGAATTTCAAAAACCAGAAGGTGAAATAAAGATGAGAAAAATATGAATCTTCAAAGAGTAATTTTTGACACTGCTTCGGTAGGGCTAAAATAAAAAAAAGAAAAAAGAAAAAAAAATGACTTCCGGGTTGGCTCCGCAGCGCCATGGACGGTCTTTTTAGACCGCCGCCCCCGCGATCCCGTTGAGCCGTTCTGACAGTGCTAATCAGCTGTCAAACGGCTTGAAAATCTCCCCTTTGGGAAAAGAAGGGGAGGAGAGCAGGTGGGTGAGGGTAGAGCTCCCCGAAAACCCCTGGATTAATTCCAGGGGTTAGGAGGGCGAGAGCTCCCCGTTCAGCCCACTGAAGCTCTGGATCTGGGGGGACTCTTTTTTTTACAGAGCTAGGCGTTGCGTCCAATTTCTGCTGTCAAACAGAAGATTAAATGATTTCAAAAAAGCAGGCGGAACAGAAGCAGGAGGACAAGCTTTTTGCAAGTATAATACTTAACTCCGGGGATACAATGTTTCTAATTGGTTTTTCTGAGCTGGAAGTAAAGATGGCGTTTCTTTGTTGCGATTTTAAAAGTGAAAGTTAGAAAGGAAAGTCTTCGCTAATAGACTCGTGCTCAGAGACTGGCTTTAAGTTGCTGGAATAGATTTTGAAGAGCTGTTTGGGAAAAGATTATTTCGTTTGGTGATTTATAAAGAAATTGCTGAAAGCTGCTTAAAAGGATGGCTCTGACTTTATGATTTTATGGTTGTGGGAAGAAAGAAAATCTTTTTAAAATAAAATGGCTTCCAAGAAAGGAGATCTTGAAAGTGCTGGAAGCTATTTGGAGGTGTCAAAAATGAAACAGTTGTCTGATTTACAGAGCTATAAGGATTTTGATGCAGAACTTACAGAATTTATAAAAGAAGCCATGAATAATCATACTGCAGCTATAAGTAATCAAATAGCAATTCTTAAAGGGATAACAACAGAAATGACTGAGGAGACAAAAACAAGTACGGAGCATGATGTCAATTCAGGAGATATTCTGATTGCAGCAGAGAAGGTGGAAGAATCTTCTCAAGAATTTTCGAGCTTATTCTCTGCTCTTTTTGAAAAAATTGATAGAATCTCTCAAAACTACGACTTGGTTTGGAAAAAAAGTAGTAAATGACCAGACTTTCGAAGTTTCAGAAGATGAAGGAGATTTGTCAGTGGTATTTATACATTTAATAGAAAAGAAACAACTGAACTTTTTTTCACAAACTCTTGACAATCTTTGGTCCTACAGACGAAGGAATGAACTGATTTATATAAGCAAGAAGAGGCGATTTGGGGGCGCTAAATCAGAGGAAATTTTTTCAAAAAGGGGACAATCTTTGCAGTTACATCAACCTCAAATTAAAATGAAAAACCTCCTCAAAATAGAAGTAGGAGGGATGCAGAAAGACTGGAAAAAATATAAAAAGAAAGCAAGAATGGAAGATTAACCTTTCCTTTTGGTTTTGCAGCTGTTCTACTCATGGTTAAAAATGATTATGTTTTAGGTGTTATAACTACTGAGTGGGAAAAAGTATGAAGTTAAATATTGATTTTTAAATACGATGCATTAATGGTTGAATGTAAGATTAATCCTTTTTGGTTTTCTAGTTTATGTATTAATGGTTAATTATGTTGATCTTTTAAAATTTTAAAAGTTGGAGGGAGGAATAATGAAGGGGGAAAATTTAGAAACTTAAAAAATGTAGAAATTTAACTATTGAATATCTAAGGTTTATTTTCTGTTATGAGATTTCAAAATATCTGAACTTTGAGGGCTTTGCAGTTGTTCTACTTATGGTTAAAAATGATTATGTTTTTGGTGTTATAACTACTGAGGGGGAAAAAGTATAAAGTTAAATATTGATTTTTAAATACGATGCATTGATGGTTGAATGTAAGAGTAATCCTTTTTGGTTTTCTAGTTTATGTATTAATGGTTAATTATGTTGATGATTATCTTTTAAAATTTTAAAAGTTGGAGGGAGGAATAATGAAGGGGGAAAATTTAGAAACTTAAAAAATGTAGAAATTTAACTATTGAATATCTAAGGTTTATTTTTTGTTATGAGATTTTAAAATATCTGAACTTTGAGAAAAGTAGGAGGGGGAAAATGTTTTTGCAAATGAATTGAATACTTTATTGATATATTAAGAGAATTTTTAAAGGTTTGAATGTTTAATATTTGTTAATGGTTTTAAAACTCTTAGAGTTATTGGATTATACGCTACTTTGAGTCTATAAAAAGGGAGGTTGACGAAATTGTAAAAGGGGAGTTAAGGGGTCTTGGGAGTTATTAAATCTTGCAGTTAGCTAGTTTATTTTAGCGAATGTCTGGTGAAACCTATGCCCTGTTTTTGTTCTGGGAAGTCGGGGGTGGGGGGTGGTGAGGAGGGGTTGAAGATTGAGTTTACCAAGGATTGATTTTTTTTTCTTGATGATAGTTTGAATGATTGTTTATATTGTATACTTGTTGGATTAGAAAATAAAAACTTTTTTATTAAAAAAAAAAGAGTAATTTTTGACACTAGAGAGCAGGCTATTTATACATGCATCCCTGAACATACAGAGAAATAATACAAGTGCTTTTCTACCCACAGAGGCATCCCCCTTCTTGCATAAAATAAAATGGCATTCAAATCAAATTTATACCAAAATGGGAAACAGCCAGTAGCTATAAAATGAATTCTTATCCACTGGATAAGAATTAAATTTATTTTATGAGAGTATCCCAGTGAAGATAAAGTGATATCAAATTATATACATTTTAATTAATGTGTCTTGCTGCGTGGCATGAGACAATGGGTATATGCTATTTGGGTGCTATTATTGCCTACTAACTACATATAGTTGATTTACCACCATTCATTTAGTGACCATTTGAAGTTACAATAGCATTGAAAATAGTGACTTACAACTGCTCCTCACACTGTTGTAGCCTCCCCATGGTGATGTGATCAAAATGTGGGTGCTTGGAAGCCGACATGTATTTATGATGGGTGTAATGACCTAGGGTCATGTAATCATTATTTGTGACCTTGTTAGACAGGTTCCAACAGGCAAAATCATTGGGTAAAGCCACATTTGCTTAATTATTGCATGATTCACTTAAAAACTGCAATGATTCATTGAACAACCAATGACAAAAAAAATAATAAAAAAAATTACTATTATTTTACAACTCACTTACCAATTGCCTTGTTTAATAATGGAAATTCGGGTCCCAATTGTTCTTATAAGTCAAGGACTACTATCATTATCAACACTGTTATAATCCATTTAGAAATAGACAACAGGGTCTACTGATTTAATTGTGACCATTTTACTAAATAAACATTGTTATTTTAGATTTCTGAGTATGGCCAGAAAAATTACAAAAGGCCAACAAAGAACATCTATCTACTTATTTGATCTTTTCCTGTTAAGGTAAACTGTTATTCTTTTAATTAATTTATCTGAATGGATTGAATACAAAAACTTTTAATAGTTACCTTTGCGAATCGAATTTATCAGCAACTTAATGAAAAGAAAACCAGTCAAAAGAGGAATATTTCCTATTAAATTTCCTGGGTGAGAACAAACAAACAGACAGCAGCATTGGAACAACAGAGGAGCCATATAATGTGAAATATATGTTAAATGTTTAATTAAATTTAATTAAATTTAATTAAATATATATATATATATATATAGAAATAGAAATTTAATTAAACATTTAACAAATATTTCACATCATATGGTTCCTGTGTTGTTCCAATGATGTTGTTTCTTTCACTCTCTTACTGACCTAATATGTTCATTTAATTTTTTATACATATGAATTTCTTATGCTTGTATCTTCCCTTGGAAAATGTTATATTTAAGGACTGAATATACTGCATATTTCATTATATAATGAAATAACTTTGTTAAATTTTTAATTACAACCTTATGCATGCATCCACAAATCGAACTTAGCTCTGATGTAGAAAAATGCCCATGTAAAGCAATAGTTCTTCATTTGTGCACATCAACCTA